ATGATGCTTTTTTTACAGCAGCGCGTTCCCAAAAACACAAGGCACCCTGAAAACAGCTGCTCAGTAAGGACAAAGGTTATCATTGATTGAATTCAGCATGCGCTGAAACGATAGTTCACTTCGATCTAGAGCGAAATATAGTCTTCAAATATTTCTATAGGAAAATATGAAAGCATCCCCGGCTTCAAAAGTATAAAGGCGCCCTGGTCGAGAGGACTTCAACAGCTTCCTTTCTTCATGTCAACTCATTTGCGATTCTGTGGGCATGCTCAGTAAAGCATAGTACCTCCTAGTGTGTCTGAACGATTTGAGCATTCTACAGAGGGAGATCATCCAGATGCTACCGTTACATCTATATAGCCTTCTGCCTTACAATAATTCCTCACATGTTTCCTATGTTTAGAATTCACATGCGATCTGCTTACGTTCCAATCTACAACATCGATTTGTTGGAGCTGTGCCGTGCAGTGGGTGGATAGTCGCTGGTATCCGTTCTACGCGATACAAGAGCCGCAGAGAGTACACCACTGGTGCACGCTTCAGCTCAGACCTTCTGGAAGACCTCCATGAGCTGTGAATTCATCAGAGACGTCAAAATTGAACTTACTCTTTTTGGAAAATGTAACTCAAACTTTAAAGAGTTTTGACAGGTCATCGTAATGAAAGATGCCTTCTACCCTACTATCATGTTCTTTCAAGGAAATTCGAGGCCAGCTGTTTCCTGCAGCCTGACCCACTCAAGAAACCTCATCATGAACTCTCGTACAACACTTTGGAGTTGAGTTGGCATTTCTCCAAATGATAATTCTTGATGTGGAAGGCGATGGCTCGGGCTGGATCCGGTTGGCGACGTAGTTGAACTGGTGTGCGGTTGCTGGGTATGACGTGGTTTCGTGCTCACCATAAGATGGTAACGTAGTCTTCTACAGAGTCTGCTTTTTTCCATAAGAAGCTAGATATGTCAAAAAAATGTTAATACATCCAGGAGATCGACCACGTTGAACGAGTTCATGAACCATTGGGCCTTTACACAAATTTGTTCTTAAGTACAAGGCATAATTGTCCAGAGAACTGTGGTCCACTTTCATTAAGCATGCCCACTGAATCGCTAATGAGTTGAGAGGATAAACAAGCTTTACTGTCGAAATTCCACTTGCCTAGGGTGACTTTCTGCTTTTGAAACATGGGAATTTCAAGACTTTCGTGTAAAAATGTTTGTAGTTCATTTTTAAATCTAATAGAATACCGTGAAGTAAATTTTCAGATTATGCCAAATTCAGTAAAGTTCGGGAAAGCTATCGATCCTTCCATCTCAACCCGATACTGCAGTTTTTGGGAGCTGTCTTAATACTTTCGAAACGCTCTGTAGACTCTGCGGAAGCTTTAAACTCTTGAAGTCAATGCCGAAGTCCTGAGGCAGCTTTGACAAGTAAGTTTACCATGCACGAAAGCCTGTCTGCTGAAAATCCGAGTTGTGCTTGATCTCCACGTACGCCTTGCATGACGTCTCACATCGATAGTTGACGTTGCTTAGAATGAAACGGATTCGTGCGTTGTTCGTCTGTAAAATACCATTTGAACGCCAACAATCTTTGTTCGAATGAAAATCCTTCATAATATAGGGAGAAGAAAAAATTTTGCTAGAAGTTGTCATCCAGTAGCTGTTATGTTGTTATGGAAATGTTGGAGACAATGATTCGGAGAGAAACTTCTCTGATCTTCCCCCCCCCCCCTGAACGTGCAAATGTTATGCATTGTTCAAAGTTTCCGCTGCAAGACACGTGAACTGGACGAATGTGCGGATCTGCGAAAGAAGCGGTGTGTATCGACCCGCAAATTGGGAGGGGCGTCGAATCGCGCAAGTAAATCGGCTAATC